GCAGGAAGGGCGCCTGCGCGCGTGCATGCGTGTGCCTGGGGGCGCGTCTGAGCCAGTGCGCGGGCCTGAGCGCGCGTGGGCGTGGCTTGTGTGGCCACGCCCCTCCCAGAGGTCCGCTGCGTCTGCGCCTGCGTCCAGGCCTCAGCATCCCTGGAGCGGCGTGGGGACTTGGTCGGTCAGAGGACGCCCCAGCCTTTCCGGCCCCAGTGAGTGGTGGGCGCGTCTGCTGCCAGGTCTGCACCCTGCGCGCGGGGCAGGCGCACAGTGACCTTGGGCGGGTCACTGCCCTCTCTCGTCTGCATGCAGGGTCCTCGGTACAGTGGGGCCGGAAGCATCGGCCAGTCTAACCACCAGACTCAGTGGGGCCTCTCCCCAGCTGGTCAGCCCGCCCTGCCCGTGGTGGGCTGCCCGCCTCTGACCCCGTGCTCGGAGAGCCGGCGGCAGAGAGCAGCTGCAGAGCACACTCCTGACGTTCGGCCAGATGAGCCGCGCAGAAGGCCAGGCCAGGTCCTCCGGCGGCCTCCCACCTCCAGAGAGGGACCTCACCCCACCAGGAGGCCCTGGGGGCTCTGCCTACAGCCCCCTGGCGTGGTCGCAGCCCTGAGGTTTCAGCTTCCACCCCAGAAGGCCCTTCATGACGAGGCTGCCTGGAGCCCACCTGACCTGAGCCCCTCTCAGGGAAGCCAGGAGCCAGGATGAGGGCAGAAGGGCCCACACTGGCCTGGGCCCCTGGGGCAGGGAACACAGGACGGTTCAGAAGTGCCGGAACAACCACCCCAGTTCTGGGGGTGGGAAGAGGTGGGACCCTGCCTGGCGTCAGCCTCATGGCGCCACTCCCTCCCCGGCAGTGAGGCTGGACACCTGGAATCTGCTTCTTCATCCCGCAGGAAGGGGGCCTGTCCCCCCAGGCATGGCCACGTCCGGCCTCGGCACAGTGACCGTGCAGGGAGTGTCTGGTGTCCCTGTCTTCCTGCAGAAGCGATGCCCGGCCGGAAGCACAGCCGTCAAAGGTGACCCCCGGGAGGGGCCAGGGCCCCACACGCAGACCCAGGGCTGGGCCTGGAGCCAGGCCTCGTCACACAGCGGAGGGAGCAGGGACGGTCCTCGTACGCAGGCCACGAGGAAGCGGATGTGGCCTTTGCACCAGCAGATTACAGAGCTGGCCAAGCAGGAAAGTCAACAGAAAGTTCTCAAGGAGTAGCTGGGGGGACCTGGCCTGCCTGTCACCCACAGGTCAGCGTCACCGCACGGGTGAGCAGCCCCAGGCCGGGCCCAGCAGGCGGGGCCAGACTCCAGGTGCCCCCACCAGCCACAGCTGCGCGAAGGACAGAGCCTGGCCCGGGGGGCTGCCGGCGGTCGTTGGCTTGTCTCTTCTTCTTGTTGCTGACAAGCCTGCCTCGTCCCACAGGCCACGAGTGCCCAGTGAGGCTGTGGCCGGAGGCCTTGGGGCCACGTGCGTCTCAGTGATGCCCAGGAGTCAGAGGGAGGTGGTGGCCCAGAGGGTGGGCAGGCCTGAGGGCGGGAGGTCCGGCGCAGAGGGTGTACCCCCCGCTCGAGGCCCCGCCACCGGCCCGGGCAGGACCCCTGAGATGGGCTTCTGTCTTGGGACACCAGCCCAGGACATCTGCATGATAGAGGGTGTAGGCAGAGCCTTGGGCAGAACAGGCCTGCCCCACCTGCTCCCCAAGGTAAACAGAGTCTCCAAAGGGCAGCGGCGTTCCTGCATGTGGCCTCCTCCCGCGGAAACACACAGATTCACAGGTGGAAATCCAGACCCCCAGCACCTCAGGATGGGACCGGCTTGGAAGCAGGGTCCTCACAGATGTAATGAGTGAGGGTGAGGTCACCTGGGGCAGGTGGGCCCTCATCCAGTGCAACTGGGGTCCTTGTGAAAAGAGGGAGCATCTGGATCAGACGCACATGGGGAGACGGAGGCAGAGGTGGGGCGATGCGTCGCCAGGTCAGGGAGCCCCAGAGATGGTCAGGAAGCACCAGGAGCAAGGGGAGGGGGCCTCAAGGGAAGCAGCCCTTCCGACACCTGGGCCTCAGATGAGGAGATGATAAACTCCAGGTTCCCAAGCCGCCCTTCTGTGCTGAGCGTCGTGCTGCCCAGGGTCTCACACACAGGAACAGCCAGGAGGAGACGCGGCGAAGGGCTGCCGGCTGCCGGCACATGGGCTTGGGCAGAGGGGCCCCGAGGGGCAGTGTTTATCTTCTGGCTGCCTTTCTGCATTTCCCCACATTTTATGAGTGACTGAACGACATTACAGTGTTTTTTGGATCTATCTCATTGAGTTCTTCCATTTCCAACAAAAAGAATACCAGATTGGATTCACTCCTTCCTGAAACAGCTGAAAGGTGGGACAAAATATGTGAAATGACAGTTGTCAAGATGCTGGACGTCAGGCAAAGAAGAACAGAGATCCTAGAGGAGACAGAAAACACACCTGGGCAGCCCTGCAGGTTCCCAGATCAGTGCCTGGGGCAGTTTCCAGGACGAGGTGCAGGGCAGGGACCAGGAGGAGCTTGGCTGAGACCCCGGGAGACCAAGGTAGCTGGAGTTCAGGGGACGCTGGAGAGGAGAGGGCTGCACAGAGCGAGCCCTGGGTGTGCAGAAGCTACTGGGGTCCCACCAGGCAGGACACACAAGTGAAGGAAAGGCCTGAGTGGGGAGGACCCACCTGCTGGACGGGAGGGAGCAGCGCTGTCCCACAAGGGATGCTGGAAAACCTCACAATCACCATGTGGCCGGTAGACGGCTCACCAGCCCTGCCTGGACTGAGCCCTGCTCCAGCGCCACCTGAGGGTTCACAAAAGCAAGACCCAAAAGACCAAACTGCGTCCACGCACCTTACCTGTGCCCCAGAGCAAAGGGCAAGAAGGTCTGGAGGGGACAGAAGTGTCCCCCAGGTGAAATTCACAGTGTCTGCCACCCGATCACGAGCGCCGGGAAGGCAGAGGAAGAGGACAGCTCTGCCACAGCGGGGAGGAAAGGCCGCCATTAGCAACCAGCCTGCGTCCGGCATGGATGCTAGAATTAGCAGACAAGAACATTAAAACCATACTACAACTGCGTTCCCTGTGTTCAAAAACCCACGGGAGAGATGGACCGTGCTAAGCAGAGACACGGAAGACACAAACGAAAGACAAGACCCAAATGACAGTTCCAGAGACGAAAACCGCCACCACGCAGGTGCAAACTGCCCTGGAGGGTTAGCGTCCGCTTAGACCCAGCAGAAGAAAGGTGGGCGCACGTGCAGACACGGCAGCAGACACCACCCACGGCGAGACGCAGGGAGGCCGGCCACTGGAGGGCAAACAGCTCGTGCGCGCGCCGGCGGCAGCGCTTCGCCGTCTGGTTTATGTAACTGGGTCCAAAAGGAGAGACAGAAAGGAAACTGAAGAAAGAATGGCCAAAATTTGTTCAAATTTAATGAAAACCAGAAACCCACAGATGTGAGAAGCGCAACAGCCCCCAGAACAAGAAACATGAAGAAAACGACAGGAGACGAAGCGTCGAATTGCTCAAACCAGTGATAGAAACAGAATCTTAAAAGAAGGCGGACGGGAGAATGTGTCACGTCAAGAGGGGCCCACAGATGGCGGCAGACACCGGCAAAGCGGCAGGAAAAGGAAACCGTCGTCCTGGAAAAGGATCAGGCAAGGTGAGTGTGTTCTCAGACGCGCCGCCATCACACTGCCGGTGACGGGGACACTGGCGACGGTCCTGCAGGCAGAAGAGGGTGGCCCCAGATGGTGACCCGGGTCCACACGAGGGATGGAGGCATCTGCAGTGGCAGGCACACGGGGAAGCACACAGGAATTTGCTTGCTGTTTACATCTCTCTGAAAGGTACCGACTAGACCAGGGTAACAGGAACGGAGCTCGTGCGGGTGTCACGTGTGGAAGCAAGTGCACTGGAGCCTGGGGAGGGGAAGGAGGCCCCCCGCTGAGGGCCGCCCCCCGCCGCTGCGTCTCGGGAGGTGGGCTGCGGCGACTTGATGCAAACACCGAAAACCTGAAAGTGACGAGACTATGAGACGGCAAGTCACGGCAAACAAGGCAGCAGAGGAGGTAAACTGGCATGAAAAACGGCTCAGTGGACCCAAAAGAAGGCAGAGGAGATGGAAGAAATGGAAACAGACAGCAAGACAGTGGCTTTTAACCAGACCGTGTCCATAATTGTCGTACTTGTAACCTCTGGGGAGGGATAAATTGGGAGTTTAGGGTTAGCAAATACAAACTGCTATATAAAGCAGATACACAAGGTCCCACTGTGCAGTGCAGGGGATTGTATCCAGAATCTTGTAATAACCTATAATGAAAAAGAATCTGAAAAGGAATATATATACGTATGTGTCGCTGAATCACCTTGCTGTACACCAGAAATTAACACAACGTTGGAAAATCAAATATACTTCCATAAAAAATAAAAACCGGGAGGAGGGCAAAGCTCAGTGGTAGCGTTCAGTCCCCAGTATCCCTGCTGAAAAATAAACGGGTGAAGTAAAAGCAGTAATAATTAGGTGCAAAACAAGTGGAACCTCTGAAACCCCGGCAGGAAGCCTGGATTTTCAGGCTGCGTGAAAAAGCAAGACCCCTCTCTGAGCCACCTCGGGAAACCCACTCTGCACACAAAGGCACACACGCTAGTCGTCCAAAGCACAAGGCCGGAAAAAGACACCCAGACACGTGGGAGAAAGATGCTGCGGCAATGTGCACCCCAGACAGAGTACGTTTCAGACAGAGAGAGGGGCACCCCCAGGGATAAAGGAGGTCACCCCCTAGTGATAAAATCCGATTTCTTAACTGGGACACTGGAAGAGCACATCGTGTGAAAGAAACGGTGCTAAATCGGATTTGTCAAGACTATGAACGTCCGCCCTTTGAACGATGCTATTCAGGATAAAAAGACAAGCCGCAGACTAGGAGGAAACCTTCACGAAGTCTGGACCTGGTGCAGGACTTGCGTCCAGAGCAGGTAGAGAACTCTCAGAACTGCACAGCAGCAGATAGTCCAGTTTTTTAATGTGCAAAGATTTGAAGGACACTTGACCAAAGCAGACACGTGGGCGGCGAGACACGTATGCAAGACACCATGACCCACAGGCGACAGTCTGAAGACGGACGGTGCCCAGTGCCGGTGAGGATGTGGGGAAACCAGAAGTCTCGTCCGTGGCTGGTGGGGACGCACAAGACAGCACCACGCTGGGGGACAGCTGGCTTAAAAAGTCGCCCGGACGCCAGCTGTACGACCCGGCCATGCCACTGTGCGTGTTTGCCCAGGAGGAACAAAGGCTTGTGCCACACGAGGCTGCGCACACCTGCCCAGCAGCTCTGTTTGTCAAAGCCCCAAACTGGGGACATCCCAGGACCACCAGTGGGTGAGCCGAGGAGCAGACTGCAGCCCACTTGCACCAGGAAGTACTGCCCAGCAAAAACGGAACAAAACATTGAATCAAACCACAACGTGGATGGATCGCAAAAGAACTTCACGCAAAAACCTGAGGGAAAGAAGCCAGACCAAAAAAAGTACACACTGCATGATTCCGTTTATATGAAATTCGAGAAAATGCAAATGAACCTGCAGCGACCACGAGCAGATCCGCAGCTGCCGTGGCTGGTGGACGGGCAGCTTCTCAAAGGGGCCCAGGCCCCTCGGGGGACGGAGGAGGTGATCCCTGTGCTGATGGCGGCGGCGGCTGCCCAGGTGCGTGCCTGGGCTGCGGCTCACGAAATGGAACTCGAGTCCAGACAGAGTTGTTTCATTGGGCTTCGCAAACATTGCAGTTTTTACAAACTGAAGGTCTGTGGCCGCCCTGCGTGGAGCAGGCCTTACACGGCACCATTCTTCCACCAGCATCTGTTCACTTCGTGTCTCTGTGTCACATTCTAGTCGTTCTCACCGCATTTCAAACTGTCGTTACTATTATATTTGTTGTGCTGGCATCTTTGCTAGAGTCGTCTTTGCTAAGAGCTCTGATGCTGCGTAGCATTTTTTAGCAACAAGGCATTTTTAAATTAAGGTATATACATTTTAAAAAGATAATGCTACTGCACACAACAGTAGGGGGTGAACATAACTTTCATACGCGCTGGGAAACAAAAAATCACACAATTCGCTTTGTTGTCATATTTGCTCTACTGCAAGGATGCGGAGCTCAAGCCGCAGTGTCTCCCAGGTCCACCTGTGTCTGCGGGTTCTCACGTGTCAGTTACACCCGACAGAGCTGTTAAAAACAAAACGAAAAATAACCCCAAAACTATGCTTTTGCCCACTGGAAGGAGGAGAAGCAGGGAGGGAAGAAAGACTCCATCCCGAGCCTTGGGCCCTGCTCCCTCGGCTCCAGAGATCACCCCTAAACTCTAAGGATGGTGGGGTCATGGGGACCCGGCTCGGAGCCTGGAGATGCGGCAGCAGTTGGGGGTGGGGTGACCTGCCTCTGCTGTGGGCTGGGACCAGGGCCCCGGGCAGTTTCCCACCCTCCAGACAGCGTCCTGCCGCCACCCGCCCTGCCGCCACCCGCCCTCGCAGTCCCTGAGCCCACACCTGGCCTCCCAGCTGAAACTCTGCAGAGTGAGGACACAGACGCCACTGCTGTGCACAGCAGGTATCAATGTCCAAGCCGGGCTCCGAGGGCCCCACATGCTCTGGCACCTCTCTGCAGGTGGCCCAGTGGCTACTCCCAGTCCTGGGCAATGCAGGTGATCATCTCCCACAGACGGCCAGCGAGACACTGGAGCCACTGGACAGCAAGTCTGGGCCCCGAGGCCTCCCCAGCTGGTTCCTGGTATGAGTGGCCCCGGGTCCCACACAGCTGTACCCCCAGCCCCGCCATGCAGACTGGCCACTGTGAGCCTAGGGGCCCAGCCCTGCTCCTCAGCCATCGGCAGGCCACATGGGTCAGTGCCCGCATCCCCCGGCCCTTCACAGCCAGCTCTGCACACCCTTGCCTGCTTCCTGCCGGAACCCGAGTCACTGCCCCACTCCTTTGTGCGGGGCCCTCCATCCTAAGTTCACCCACTTCCCTCAGCTCACTCTAGGCTCAGGACACCCGTTGGCCTGGCCCCAGCCCTCTCACCAGGGTCCTTACAGCCATGCAGCCACTTCCAGCCTTGGCAGGGCCTCCCCAACCCCTGCCCCAGCTCCTGAGGGTCCGGCTACCTCTCCTCTAGCCCACCTCATCCAGGAAGCCTTCCCGGGCTGCTCAGGGCCCTCTCACCTCTGAGCTGTGCCTGCCCTCAGAGACCACTTGACTTGTGCTTCTGGGGGTCCTACCAGACCCTCCAACCTGAGGGCCCCCCAAAACCCAGTACCACTTGTTTGGAGCTGCATGTTTGTGTCCCCCCAGATTCCTATGGTGGAGCCCAAGGTGATGGAATTAGAAGGCGGGGCCTTTGGGAGGTGATGAGGTCGTGAGTGGAGGGCCCCACGGTGGGGCCGGTGTCCCATAAGATGAGACCCCTGGCCGCCCCTCCCCCTCTTCCCACGCGGCACAGGAGAGGCCCTCACCAAAGCCAGGCCCCCCAGGACCCTGCCCTCGGACCCCAGCCTCCAGGGCTCTGATCGGACGACCCCCCCGCGGTCCCCTCCCCTGAGCTCCAGCGTCAGGCTCAGGGAGGGTTCCCAGCGCTGACGGCCACTGCCACCTGGCCGCCCGCGCCGCGCCGGGTGGCACACACAGCAGCCGGCAACCCCCTCCCACAAAGCCCTTCAAGGCCACCGGCGGCGCGCGAACAAACACTCCGAACCTGCCACGTACTCGCCTGGAAGTCACAGCCGCCCGATAACCCCCGGCCCCGCGTGTGGCGTTCCGGCCTCCCGCCCGGGCGGCCTTATCTGTTTGCTTCTCACCAGACATCCGCCGGCAGCCGGCGCGGCGCCAGCTCCGGGCAGGC